AACCAACAAATTTGGGCTTATCTTGGCATTTGCTTTTAGCCTACATATGATAGGAGATGTAAGGCTCAGGTGTGATGTGACCAAGGCACTTATTCAGGCAGTTCTCGACTTACGATCGATCATTTAGGGACAGTACAAAGTTACAACAAATCCCTCCCCCCAAAAGTACTTACAATGAGGGTTCAGAAGTTCCAATGGCCATCTCCCGGTCATGTGATCACATTTCAGGTGGTCAACAGCTGACTTACTTTTATGGGCACTTGTAGTATCACATGGCCATTATTTACTTTTTTTTGGCTAAAAATCAGCATTTGCATCTGGTTTTTGGCAAAAACACCCATGGTGAATAATGGGTTTGCTAAACACGAAAAAATGTTAAAAAAATAGATCTGGTTTCACTTTACAACTTTCACAACTTACCACCACAATGGGCAGACTGCATTATAGACCCATTTCTTGGCTGCAAAAAATAGGTAGGGCTTTCTTTTAGCTTCATCCCTTTTAAAGTGTAATATTCTGCTTCACTGTATAGAATAAAAATAGATAACACTGTTCTCTTTGTTGCCAGAGTTATTATTGGTTATATAAAAATGTCAGCAGAGAATGCTGGCTGTCTTCAGATTCCAAGGAACCAATTAAAGATGGGGAAAGTGAGGGATGAGTAGAAATTGCAATAGCTTTGATGCTATCACCTTTATGGTCTTTGGGCATCACACTTTCCCCAAGGAAAAACGCGTTAAGTGTGTTTATAGCTTGACTACTTAATTTCTACTTGATTGTATGAATTCTATCTGATATTATGCTGTGTTCACCGCCAGGAAGATTTCAACTCTTTATTTTTATCTTACCTGTTGTGCTGATCTTGTTGTTAAAGATCTGCTAGAAAAATTTAGTTACTGGGTGGTGTAAATACACCATCAGCCAGGATGCTAGACAAAAGGCTATTTCCCTTTGTATTTGTGCATTTTCCAAGTAATGAGCTTTGTAGTTCCTTTCTTCACCTAGCTTCCCAGATTTGCCTTCTATGACAGGGGTGTTCAACCTTTTCACCCATTGTGCCACTTTTAGGATATGGCAATATCCAAGTACCACCAGTCGCCTAGCAAGGTGTCAAAAACCTGATGACCAAAAAAAAATAAATGCTTCATTCCAGCTGATCGGCGCTGGAGCCTGGCGCTGATCCTGGCGCTTCCACTGAGCCCTGACAGTCCCAAAGAAACACTAATCCTGGTGCTTCCGCTGAGCCCTGACAGTCCTGCAGCTCCAGCCGTCTCTCGCTCAGGCTTGTGCAGTGCTGCCACCAGTTCAACTCATTCCCCTCCCCCGCTACCACTTTTCTAGGATGGTCGCGTACCACCTGCCAGGTGCCAATGTACCACAGGTGGTACCCGTACCACTGGTTGAAAAGCCCTGTTCTATGAGACAGTTGTATGCAAGATTCCTCTGTTTCTGTTTTCAATAAAGTTGCATTCGTAGTCATACATTTTTATAAGCCTATTTTCTACATGTGTAGGTAATCTCTGATTCTATTTTTCAAACTCTGTTTCAGTTTTAGGACCAAAGTTTAGGAAGCTCAATGCTTCCCAAACTTTTTCCTTCATAATTCAAAACTGCTTATCAGAAAGTCCTTTTTTATCCACTGTAGGTAAAACACTTAAGTCAATTTAAATGCCCCTGTTGTGATTGTGTAATGGGTTTGTGTGTCATTACCAAAGAAAAAAACATTTTCCCCCAGTTTTGGGTAATTTACCCAGGTTTGGCAGTTGCTCCTCAAGATGTCAAATGAATCTTGAGATTTGACTGGAGAAGCCCCTCTATTTCTAGTACTTAGGGTTGTCACTTTTAATAAATACTTCCTTTTCGGTTGATTCCGTCTTATAGTCGTCCGTCTGTCTTGGACGTTTCTACTTCAGTCCTTTCGTTTCCGGGTCTTAGTTGTTTCTGAACGTTGTTTTCAGTTTCTATTAAAATTTTCAAAGAAAGTTGTATAATTATTGTTCTTTTTTTATACAAGGGCACTGAAAGGAGGGACTTACGACCGTTTTTCACACTTACAATCATTGCAGCATTCCCATGGTCACTTGATCAAAATTCAGATGCTCAGCATCTGACTCATATCTATGACTTTTGCAGTGACGATCACCTTTTGCGATCTTCTGAGAAGCAAAATCAATGGGGAAGGCAGATTCACTTAACAACCATGTTACTAAATTAACAACTGCAGTATTCACTTAACAACTGTGGCAAGGTCGTAAAATGGAGCAAAACTCACTTAACAGTTGTCTCACTTAGCAACAGAAATATTGGGCTCAATTGTGGTCTTAGGTTGAGGACTACCTGTAGAGCTGTGCAGGTTTTGGGAACTCTATTTCACAGCTGGGGAGTGGGGGGGAGGAATACCAGGTGAGGCACTCTTTGGAAGAAAGGAGGTGACAGCAGTAACTACTAAGAAGGCTTTTTGGAAAGGAAGTCTGAAACCTTGAATTTTCAGTTATGATATAGCTAGAGGTAAAAAGGACATTTAGAGGAGGGCATCAGCATCATAAAGAAAAATGTGGGGGAATTTTACAGATGTCTTCATTTTAGCACAGCACATCAAAGTAGCAATGAAAGAAAAGACCCTTTCAATCACTAGCAGATAGCAAAAATGCCTTGTTTCATTGTTGGACTGCTTACAGCAAAGGAATTCCTACAATAAAATTGTGTCTTACTGTGAACGAAATCACAGCTTGGAAAATCAGTTAAAACATCAGGTATACTCTCCAGAATACTGAAACTCAAGAAAAGGATTTTAAAAAGCTGAACTTTGCTGCTTTTTCCCACTTTCCCCCCCCCATCCGAAATGGAGACATTGCGTTAAGCCATTGTGTGGTTGAATTTTGTAGTATGTATGGCTTCAGATTTAGCATGTGCAAATCTAATCAGCTGTGATTTTTGCCAGAGAATCCTATGCAAATATAAATCCATGCAATACATGAACCCAAATGTGAGCCTACAGACTCTTACCATGGTTGCCACCAAAATATATCTAGGTACATATAGCGACTTAACAGAATAACAGAGTAGAATAACAGAATAACAAGAGTTGGAAGGGACCTTGGAGGTCTTCTACTCAAGCAGAAAACCCTATAGCATTTCAGACAAATGGCTATCCAGTCTCTTTTTAAAAGTCTCCAATGATGGAGCACCCATAACTTCTGAAGGCAAGTCATTCCACTGATTAATTGTTCTGTCAGGAGATTTCTCCTTAGTTCTAGGTTTCTTCTCTCCTTGATTATTCAGCTTAATTGCCGAATTGGAATACAAGACCGGTGGACCATTAAACTAAATCTTAATACATATCTTGGTAGCAGCCAGGTCCCTTCCCCCTTAACGCATTAATGCGTTTTGTGTTCTTTTGGCTTAGACTGAATCCAATCATTTTGAGCTCATAAGCCGTGGTTTAGGACTTAGCCTGCTATGCCAATCCAGCCAATTTGTAACAAATAATAAACTGGGTGGCTTTATCAGCGCTTGGAATCCAGCAAAGTATTTCTTGGAATAGATTTTAAGGAAAAAAAAAATAACCAAGGCCAGGATCATTACGGGTAGTCCTCGACTTATGACCATAACTGAGCCCAAAATTTCTGTTGTTAAAATGAGATATTTGTTAAGTGTTTTCCACCATTTTACAACCTTTCTTGCTTTGGTTAACTGAATCACTGCAGTTGATAAGTTAGTAGCCCAGTCGTTAAGTGAATTTGGCTTCCCCATTGACTTTGCTCGTCAGAAGGTCACAAAAGGAGATCACATGACCTCCGGGACATTGCAACTGTCATAAATACGAACCAATTGCCAGGCATCTGAATTTGAATCACATGATCATGGGGATGCTGCAAAGGTTACAACTACATGAAAAACTGTCACTTTTTTTCAGAGCCATTGTAAATCTGAACGGTCACTAAATGAACTGTTGTAAATTGAGGACTACCTGTACTGTACAGCAGACAGGTTGAGGGAGGTGGTAGCGATGGGAAGCAGAAGGTGTGGGGGGAAAAGCACCAGAAGGCAAGACAAGAAGCAATGGATGGAAACTAATCAAGGAGAGAAGCAATCTTGAATTAAGGAGAAACTTCCCAACAGTGAGAACAATTAACTGATGGAACAGCTTGCCTTCAGATGTTGTGGGTGCTTCATCACTGCAGGTTTTGAAGAAGAGACTGGACAGCCACTTGTCTGAAATGGTATAAGTCAATGGTAGGCAACCTTGGCTCTTTTATAACTCGTGGACTTCAACTCCCAGAATTCCTGTATCAGCCAAGCTGACTCAGGAATTCTGGGAGTTGAAGTCCACGAGTCATAAAAGCCAAGGTTGCCTACCCTGGTATAGGTCAGGGGTAGGCAACCTTGGCTCTTTCATGACTCGTGGACTTCAACTCCCAGAATTCCTGTATCAGCCAAGCTGACTCAGGAATTCTGGGAGTTGAAGTCCACGAGTCATAAAAGCCAAGGTTGCCTACCCTGGTATAGGTCAGGGGTAGGCAACCTTGGCTCTTTTATAACTCGTGGACTTCAACTCCCAGAATTCCTGTATCAGCCAAGCTGGCTCAGGAATTCTGGGAGTTGAAGTCCACGAGTCATAAAAGAGCCAAGGTCGCCTACCCCTGGTAGAGGTCCTCCTGCTTGAGCAGGCGGCTGAACTAGAAGACCTCCAAGGTCCCTTCCAGCTCTATTCTGATTCGATTTGATTCAGGGGGAAAAAAAAAGGAGCGTGCAAGATATGAACGTTTAGATGAATAAATCAAAGGAGGTCGGGAGCGAGTTGTCATCCCCAGCGGTCTCGCACGGCTGCGCTCTGCCAAATCGACCCGTCTCGCCTCGCCATTTCTTTCCCCAGAGGGGTTGGGGGGGGGCACGGTTGAGGGCTGTCTCCTCCCCCTTTTTTGCGCTCAGTTCTTGCCTCGGGAAGGCTGGCTCCTCCGTCCAGGCTCGGGAACCGGAGTGGTGGTGGTGCTGTGTGTGTGTGTGCGTGTAAGTAGGGGGGAGCGCGGATTCGCTCGGGAGAGAGAGAGAGAGAGAGAAAGGCCGAGAGGAGCCGCCGAGTGGTACCCGCTTGCCAGCATGTCTTCCAGCCCCTCCGTCAACTACGTGAAGTGCATAGTGGAGCAGCTGAAACTCGAGGCCGGCGTGGAACGCATCAAGGTGAGCCGCCTTTACAAAGAAGAAAGAAGAAGGAAAAAAAAAGGGGGGGGGGCGCCTTCGGCCGCTCTCGGACGTCGGGCGAGGCAGGCGCCGGGGCCGCTTTTCTCTCTCTCGCGGGCGGCATCATCAAGCCTGCCTTTGTCTTCTCTACCCAACGCGGAAGGCGGGACGCTGGAGCGCGGCGAGCAGGCGCCGGGGATGGGAGAACAGGGCCGCTCTCGGCTCTTGTGGGTTGGGGTTTTTTTTTTTTTTGGTTCCGGACGCGAGGGAAAAGACGGGGTAGCAAATTGGGGTTTTGTTTTGGGGGGGGATTTGCTTGTCTCCGGAAAAGCGGGGTAGCAAATTGGGGGCGGGGGCTCGCTTGTCTCCGGATCATCCTGGTCCGCTCACATTCGAGGTTTGCACGGGCGTTGGAAATCAAACCGGCCATTGTTGGTCTGCAAATCAAGTGGGGCTTGCGAAGGGCCGGGTTTTGTTTTGTTTTGGTTTCGTTTTCGGACGACCCCATTGCGGCTGGTTTTAGTTGCCTTGGCTTTCTGTTGCTGGCTGGTTGCTTCAGGTTTCTCTTTTGCTGCTATTTTGAGGACGGCGTCGTGGGTGCTTTCCAACCAAGCTCTTTTCCGGGGGAGGGGGGGATTCGGACTGTTTGTCTGAACGGCTGTGTGTGTGTGTGTTGTAAACCCGGCTATTGATTTTTAAGGCGTCTTTTTTCTCTCTCTATGGAGAGGGTGTGACTTCTGCTACACAATGCAAAGCAACGGCCATTGTTGGCGTATCCTGGAGTATCTTGATAGTATCCTGTACCATCAAGCGTTTCGAGTACAATGGAGTTGTAATAAATAAAAAAAAATGGGTTTCATAAATGAACCACGCTTGATTATAATCCCTTTTGTGGTTTTAGGTAACACTCTTGTGACTGTATTTGTAGGTGAGAAAGTCCCTGATAGCTGCTTGTTCCAGGATGGAGAGGATATAGTAAAAATGAGACCTTTGCCAAAAATGCTGCATTTTTCAAAGGGCTTTTTCTCAATTCTGCATTTTTTAAAATGTGTTGGATCAGTTCCATAATCCTCAGCCACCCTCATTCAGTTCTGAATTGTTAAAAAAATGTTTTCAGCCAAAGCAGAGTTTTAACACTCATATTGTCATGGTTGACTCTTAGAAACTGCTTTTGAAATATACCTTAATATATTTCTTAGTATATATCCCAAGAATAACCAATAGAAAGAAGCTGGATTGCCCACTAATATGTGATCACGGGCATGTTTATGTAAATCAGTATTTAATTTCATCAGTGTAGAGATGTCTTGTTAATTCTGCAATACTAAGAAACTGAATAACAAAATCAACTTCCAGACTTTACACAACTCTTCAGTATGAAATGCTGATAAAAATAAAGGAAATCAAAAATGTCACTTGATAAATGGATAGAAGCAGAGAATTTGAGTTGAAGGAGATCATTTAGATTATACAGGCCAATATTCCATTAGATTATCTCAGTGATGGCGAACCTTTTAGAGACTGAGTGCCCAAACTGCAACCCAAAACCCACTTATTTATCACCAGGTGCCAGGTGGGCGTGGCCCACTGGGTGGGTGTGGCTGTGGTGGTCATGGCAGACTGGGTGGGTGTGGCCAAGGTAGGCGAGGTCACCTCGATATTGCTTGTGAGGAGGGATGCTTGTGGGGGCCGGGCAGGGTTGGGGGAGATCCAGGGGGTCTCTGGCAGGTGGGGCAGTGGGCAGGAGGCTCATCTTATGGGGTGAGGCGAGACAAGGCGGGGCAGGGGGAGGGAAACCAGCCGTGCTGGGATGCATCCGGCCACGTGGGGCCTCACTGAGTTAGCGGGCGGCTGGTTGAAGAAAGATGGTTGCCATCTCTGGGGCATGGCACACGTGCCCACAGAGAGGGCTCTGAGTGCCGCCTCTGGCACGCATGCCATAAGTTCGCCACCACTGTATTATCTAATTTCAAGCAACCTCAACAATTTTACCCATTTTCTACTTGAACTCATCCAGGGAAGAGGAGTGATTGTCAAACTGCTCTTAGGAAGTTTGTCACATGGGTGGCAATTCTTTTAAAGGGAAGGGTAGAATGTTAGGTAAATTTGCTCCCATTAATGGAAGCATCGTCTGTCCATTTTTCAATTTGGAGTTCTGCCAGTAAGAAGAGGCAGCAGAGGACCCTACAGCTATGCTATTATTCACCCCACCCTTCTCTGTTTTTTGCTGGTTGGCTCCTCTGGGCCTCACCTATAAACAAAATACTTTTGGTTAGGATCCCAGGCCATGGTGATTAGGCACAATTATATAATTAGAGGTTACCATTGGCTAGGTATATATAACCAATTTGTGTAGGCGTTTCTGTAAAGAGAAATTAAAGTTCTGTATCCCAGCAGTACATAAAGGAGTTGTTTGTTCTTTCAGATTACATTTTTGGATGTCTTCCAGCGTCCCAGAATTCCCATGCTAGCTCAGCATTCTGACACAGTCAGCGTAGGGAGAGATATGTAAACCTTGCATGACTGTTTAGCTAAGAGTGCATTTTACTGTTTTCAGTGGGGTTTATGTTCTGCTTGTAAGTTTTTTTTTTATAATTATAGCTTTATTTGCTTTAGAAAGGTTTTTCTTGTATTGTGTGTTGTTGCAAGGCAGCCTGTGTTAAATACTAGAAATTTCCCCACAGCTCCCTTTTCTCGTCTTTAGTGATCCTTCACTGAAGCCTTGCAAGTTTGCTTCCATATGTTGACAACTGTCCAAATGATAGGGATATAGCTTTTCTGTAATTGGGGGGATGGGGCAAAGAAGCAGCAGAGTAAATGTATTAAGTATCCAATAACTTTGATGTACATTTTGTTTTAGAAAATGCCCATGTTTCTAAAACAAAAATGAGAAGGACATTCTCTACTAAATGGTCTGCCAGTACTATGATCCATGTATGCCTTGACTGCTGAGGGGGGAATCAATTAAAATGAGTGCATCTTCAAGCTATAGAAAGCTTGGTAGCTCCTGTTTCAATTAGTGAATGACATGGAGATGGGGCAAGTTTAACATACTTCCATCAGTGGTTTTGGACGGAAAATATAAAAGATTCTATTTGAATCCAAACCCAGCCCTTGTCATGGTGAAAAGAAGCCATCAAAACATGCCTTACTGTACTATCCATTTTATGCCGAGGATGAGCTGTTAATTCCACATCTGATTAAACATCCTGGTCATTCTGATCAACATCTTGTTCTCCTATTCAAATGACTATCTCTTCAAGTGTAGCCAAATTCTGGCACGCAATATGAAAGGCGCACAGCAGTAAAATACTGATAAATCTTCTCACCTAATTAGCTGATCAGTGTCAATTTTATGTATCCGAGTGGACTGCAATAAAGGCTCTGGGGCAGGGACTGTCTGCATTCATTCTACTTCTAAAGGGCATTTATTTGCTCATTGAAACTGAGGTAAGGGTGACAGTAATACTTGAGTCTTTTCATCCCAATAGGATTGGCACGCTCCACCTGTTTCTCTGGGGTCCAGGAGAAGAGCCTTCTCTTCCATCCTGTCCTGCCCTTTGGAATATCTTTCCCCCCCCCCCATAGCGAGATTGGCTCCCACCCTCCTCATCTTCTGCAAGACTATCACAGTGAAGGTGGTTGATAGTTTAATAACAGATTCCACCTCCCCCTCTCATCCTCCCCTCCTGCCTCCCCATCTTTTAGTCATAGCTGATAGTTTGTATTTTTATAGTTTTTGAATTGTTTTATTCTTTTTTTAACCTGGTAGGCTGCCCAAAGTCACCTCATGCTGCGATGCGTGGCAAACAGATTGAATTGATAAATAAATAGAAATACAGTGGAGCATTTCCGTTCTTCGAAACGTATTTATTCTTGCAACAGCCCTGTGAGGTAGGTTTCACCTAGCAGGTATCAAAAGAGTCCCTCATTAATGGGTGCAAAAGGACCTTTGTCATTATTTTGCATCTTGAGAATAATTATTTGATACACGTGGTCACTATTTAAAGATTTGTGCTGGAGTCTTGATATCCTCTCCAGTTCGTATTTGTTCTTTTGCACATGTATTGGAGAAAATTAAAATACCCCAAAACAAATTTAAAAGAAGATTATCTTCTCTGTGTTTACCTCTTCGGCATCTCACGAAAACCAGTGAAGTAAAACAGAAAATCAAAGAGTGTGGCCGAGTCTGAGCAATCTCTCACATTGACCCTGGCCTGTTCCCCTGCACAGTGCTTCTACTCCTGCTGTGACCCAATTTAAATTTAACCAACGTTGCAGATTTTAAGTCTAGAAGCATTTGTAATTCTGTAAGTATGTGCTAGAATAATACTACCTAGTGGTTATACAGTTGGGGAGTTGGAATATAAAGGTTTGTTCTTCTCTCTCTGTCTTCTCACTCTTTCTCTCTCATGCTGGCTGGGGAATTCTGGGAGTTGAAGCCCACAAGTCTTAAAAGTTGCCAAGGTTGGAGACCCCTGCTCTATCCCACTCATTCTAAGTGGTGAATTCTTCCTTGACATGCCTTGATTTCGGGTAACCCCCTTCAGAGGCCACATAAATATACCTATTGATTCAGTTCTGTTGAATAGTAGGCCCCCTTGACATGTGCTCACCCACCTGCCTGTTATTGATAAAATTGATGTAAACCTGGCTGTTTCAACACGCTAGGGCAGTGATGGTGAATCTTTTAGAGACCGAGTGCCCAAACCACAACCCAAAACCCACTTATTTATCACAAAGTGCCAGGGCCGCATCAGCATTGTGGTGCCCTCAGGGAAGAGGTATGGGGGCGTGGTCCAGTGAGTGGGCATGGCTCTAGTTGTCACAGCAGACTGGATGGGCATGGCCACCTCGATGTTGCTCATGGGGGGGATGCCTGTGGGGGCAGGGTAGGGTTGGGGGAGATCCAGGGGGTCTCTGGTAGGTGGGGTGGTGGGCAGGAGGCCCAGCATAGATGGGGGGAGGCACGCAATTCCAGCTGGGACTGGGGGGCCATG